AACTTCCCCCCCCCCCCCGGTCACGGCGTCACTGGGAATCATAATGTGATTATTTAAATATGAGGAATAGTTTTTGCAATAACTGAAATATATGCATAAGAGCTATTGTTATTATTAGTTTTAAATGTATATTATTTAGTTTTAATAATATAAAAAATGACTGAAGGTTAAAACAATGAGAAAACTGGACAGTAAACATAGAGCAAATATGTTATTTTGTAATAACTACAGATTTCTACTAAAAAAGTACCTACAATGACTTTCAATATGTATAAATAAGAAGTTATTCGTGATTACCTCGGTTAGTATTTTATTACAAAAGTTATAATCATACAAACCTACAACTTGTTAGTGTAGAAAGAAGGGCATAAAAACTTTAATTATCTATCAACTATTTTTTAGTTTTGTAATAAATATTTCAATAGAGTGGAGCACATAAGTAATATTTGAAAAACATTAAATAGATATAGCACCTGTAAGGTCCTCCTGTCTGGATGTTTTTTGAGGGCCTTTAAGAAGTGAGGATCATTGGTCATATTTCTGGTGGTATATCATTATAACTAAGGCACATTTCGGGCGTCCATTTACGCAATCTTGAGCGAAATCTGAAAATACACACACAGTCCATTTTAGTACATAGAAAATTAAATAACTGGATATAGTCCAAATTAAAATGAGAGAAACGTCGAACAAAACTTATACAACGTGTGTAATTTAAATCCAAGTTCATACGTGGGAATATTCCCATGGAGATGTATAAGTACAGTTGTTACATTAAATGTGTAGGTACTCATTATGACGTACGCGACCCTGTATAAAAAAAATTCTGTATGTGAAGTTTTTTAAATATGTTGTATAACGTTACTTAGAAAAATATTTATATAAGTTTCATAAATAATTTATTTCTTAGATTTAGTCATTATAAATTATTATAAATATTTCAATTTAATTTTTTTTAATTTAAAATATGATTAATTTAGATTCTAAATTTTTTTTAGATATGCAATATTATCAGGTTTTCTATTTTTATATTTTTGTCACCATTTAGTTATACGTTTCGAAAACCATATAATTGATGAACAAACACAATATCGTCATATTTTTAAATGTTCACTACAACATATGTATACAAATTATTTCTAAAGAAACTTATCCCTATAATTATAGATGTTATATTAGAATTACTAACGATGTTAAATATCTAATTAACCCCCGGAGGCAGGAATCCGAATAAGTCTGGCAGGATATTATTTACTAACTCACTCAACTTACAAAAATTTAATTACAAACCCATTTCTACCGAGGATTTTGTTTATGAACTTAGTAACCTTCAGCAATGGATTTCAATTATTTTACCAGCGGCAAGTGTCAGTTCAACAGTAGGATAAATTGTACGTATTTTACCCCTTTTAATACTTAAAAATTTTGAATTTAAATTAAAATCAATGAAATAAGTACCTTTGAAATTTGAAACGAAATTTTATGAGAGTAATATTTTAATCAGATCTAACGATCATCTTGTATTTATAATACAATTGGGCAGTTATATATTTTTTAAGTCAATGCATTTAAATCGTTCTTGAGTTTTATAAAACTAAAAACAGTGATAACTCGTAATTGAATAATTGCAAACCAATTCTTCTTGTTTTTAACTTCATCATTGAAAATAACTCATAAGCAGTACCGTAAAACCGAGTATGTAGTTTTTGCAAGGCATACGGGCCCAGGGTTTTCATACTCACTATTTTTAAAATTATGGTGAGGGGTGGGGTATTATCTGTACACGGGCCCCCAACTTAATAGTTGCAGCACTACTGGCTACTATTGAATAACTTATATTTATGCTCTTGTTATTTTATGTTCAAATTTAAGAAACAAACAATTCCACACTATGGTATATTAAGACTATTGCTAATTTTTCATTGTTTATAAAAGTGAAATTCCACTGCAGTGAGTCGGAAACACTCTTTGTTTTTACAGTAATTACATGGTCCCCCAAGTACCGGTCGACCGTTATAAAAACGTTCTCCATGTGACCATGTGCAATTATCTTTACTCTGATGTTTGTATACCTACGCGCTTATTCAACAACAACCAAAAATATATGTTTTTCGTCTCACTTCGTCGATCACCATAGACACAATATTTACTTATATATGAGTTCTCAACTCTTCAGCATTCCAACGCAATATTCTTACATTGCATCAATTTTTACCAAGCAAAACGCTGTTTACGCGGAACTTTATCCTTAGAAGCAATTTTTAAAAAGGACGTTTGAATAAGTCTACGATAGAGATACAACACGCACACGACCTCTTCTTCGTAATATAGCCTTGCAAAGAGTCTCATGTACCTACTCTTATTTATTAATGCATGAGTTTGTATAAAACCTAACTAAGCTGTACACAATAAAATACACGTTGTATCTTGATTTCAGCTAACGACTCAGTAAAAAACTCTGGATGGCCCTTAAGAATTTGCTTTTTATACTTTAAATAAAAGAAAAGTGCTTTTTGCTATAATATTCTAACCTATCTAAACGGAATTTTCCTTCTCTATTGTCTATGTGACTCAAGTAAATCGACCTTTCTATTATTATATTTAGTGACTTTTTGCCAAATATGAGCTACTGGTATATCTAAATGAACACCATGCAGTTCTAATCGTCAAAGTCAATTGTTACATTCATCAGCCTTGTACAAATACAACTGCAGTGTTTCTACAGCTTACAATTGATTATATTGAGGTTTCTAGCGTGTTCAAATCGTTAGAATTTCTAGCAGGCAGTAAAAATATTCTTGGTAGTTTTAAAAGGAAAAAAATATATTAATATTCGATTGACTGGTAGTCATACATTGAAGTATTATTAAGCAGCAAAACAATAAACTTACAGTGTTAGCAACAAATACAAAATTCTATTACTGCGTATATCTAAAAGTGAATTAGTGGAAAAGATAACATCAAAAAACATCTAGAAATAGATATTTTGACAAATATCAAAATTTTTAATCTACAAAATATTTTGCATTACATTTATTTTACAATTTTGAACTATGTTAAAAGTGTATTTTTTATTATTTGAAAAAAATAATAAAAATTTTTATTGAGTAACTTTTAGGTATGTTTTGTTGCTTTGAATCTTATAAAGATAACTTTAAACAATAATACTATTTAAAATACGCTAACAAGCAAACTAAAATAATTTACCGACTTACATAATCTTTGCAACCGTAATTTAAAATACATCATTTTAGTGTAAAAGACATCTGTAATCTTTAGAGTTAACAAATCGTATTTAAAGCGTATAGTTCATTTCACATATAGTTTGTATTTTTTTAATTTGATTTCGCCAATGTTTATTCCTATCAGAGATGCATGGCGTAAAATTAACATTTTACAGTAATTTTACATAAAAACTGATGAAATGTAATTTCTTCATAAACTATTGAACCGTTATAGCTATGGCGAATACCGTTAATGTTATTTTTAATAGCTCATAGATAACATTTATTACTATATTGAAGAATATTAACTTAACTTTAATACCTGATTATAAGAAGCCATTTTTTCATTGCTCAAACACACCCTATTTTAGCGTGATGTGCTGTTATTATAATATATTAATAGTCTTCATAGAAGAGCCCGTGACATTTACTGTGGTTACAGGTAAATATTAAAAATCTAAACATGCAAGCCATATGCTATATATAAAATAATTAAAAATTAATAAATAATAAAAACTATATCTAAAATGGCGTTTAGATTGTAATAGAAAATATTATTTTGGATTATATAAGTCAAAAGATATTTTAATAAAATATTATATAATGTTTAGCTAAATTTTTAGTTTTAACCGTCTTTGAAAATACATATTACTAATATTCTAACAAACCTAAATCTTCAATTGTATATTTAAATTAATATAGTAATGAACAAAACAATACATTATAATAATTTGCTCTTTACATTGAAAATTCTTTAAGCTTTACGTTTTTTTTATTACGTACATTTAATTTTTTTATTGTAGAAAGTAAATTAAAGTTATATAGAAACATAATATACTCCAGTTACAAATAAGACATAATGTGAATCTTGGCTATCATAAGTGTGACCAAATAGAAATCATAAATACATAACTCCACTCTTCTAAAAAATGTTCAAATGTTCATATTTTTCATTAATACATGTATTAATAGGATTAAGAGTGGAGACTGACCTTCGGACTTCAAGATTTTGAATTTATTTAGTGGTCTTACAGTTATTTTTTTTTTTATTCATTAATATTTTTGCAATTATCAATACATAGTAAAATTTTTTGGTGAGCAACAATTAGGTTATAAAAAAATGGGGTCATCTCAAAATCACTATTTGAGGCCTATTAAATCTTGTCCATAAATAGGTCTAATCCAAACTGGATTAGAAGTTTTTAACACATGCAGTATTAGTAAACATTTGATAAAAATAGTAATAAACATTATATATTTATTTACAAATTTTTAAATCTTCACATCAAAATTAAACTACTAGTATGCAAAATGAATGTTTTTATTAAAGATATTATACTGACATATGAAATATTTATTACATTTTTCTACTATGTATTTCTTGAAACAAAGAGCTACGGAAAATGACTAAACATTTTTAAACAATAAAATAGCATATCCAAAATGATAGTTACGAAACTAAATATTAAGTTATAAGTAAACAATTTAAGACGAGTGCCAATGTGGAATATAAGATACATATATATCTTACGATCCAATAGAATAACGGTTTGTTGTCATATGAGACATACAGAGCTGATTTTGAAAAGTTGAAAGTAATCAGATTTACCGATAGTGTTCCAAAATAGGTACATATTTTATTACATAAATTATTATTAAACAATTTAATTAACCAATAATTACTCAGTTGATTTAGCATTTATATTAATTGTAGTATTATATTATTTTACATATTGAAATCAACGTACATTATTTTCATACTTTTTATGAAAATACTTCGAAGTTAATTGCCACAAGCCATTAGAAAATCAAATTGGGTACATGTAAATACATTAAAAATTTCTTTNACAAGCCATTAGAAAATCAAATTGGGTACATGGAAATACATTAAAAATTTCTTTAATTAAAATTAATGATTTTATCAACCCAACTAACTATTATCTTAATTGATTACTTAAGCAATTATTATACTTATGTAATTACAACAATTGTTAATTTACTATTATGAACATGTTCCATAAAAATCATATCTAAACAAAAATAATAAAATCTATAAAATAAAAAATGTATATTTATACTTTTATCTTTTATTTCTGATACTACAAGTACATTAGATTAATCTAAATCAAAATACATTGTTTTATTAATTACATAGATAATATTGCTATCCGACATGCAATTCATATGAACCATTATGACATCGATGAATTATCGGAGCAATAGCATCATATCGCGACTTTTAATTTTTTAACGTCTTATTATGTTTTATATATAAAACATAATACTATTTATAGTATATATATTGCAAATTTATTTTTTATCTCATAATTGACAAACATTATAAATATAAAACAGTTTCTGACTCATTTAGAATAGTGGATACT